GGCTCACCAATTTAGGATTTGTCCTGGTGCGAACTTGACAGACGCAAAGACCAATCACCAATTATTCGAACTTGTTATATACCCACGAATACGAGACCAAGGAAGAACACGATAGCGTAGTCGGATGGAATAGTATATTTGGATGGTTATGCCAAAATACCGATGCGTTCCAACTAACTGGCTAGAGAGTCGAATACGAGCAATGCAACGTAACACGACAGCGTGCCAAATGGCGAGGATGCTTGCCTGGGTGCCTTCAGCTTAGCGAGTCCAGTTAAACTATCAAGGTCAGCATCAATGTCGAAGTCGTCAAACCCTAGGCTATTGATTTTGGGGAAGTGTATGACGCTACACTTCTTAAGGAGTTTCAGTGGACGATTGTTGTGTTATGCTGGCAATTTAGATTACGGAGATAGGCGCAGTATACTGTCCATTGAACCGCTATGGATACGGTGTCTAAGAAACAACTTGGTTCTCTTGTACAAAACTTTGCATGGTCTGTCATACTGTTCCTCCTACCCGCTTGCAGGTATGTACCGCCATATGGCCTTAGAAATCATACACCGACGTTGTTAATAGAAGGATGCGATAAAAAGGTCAGATGTATATTCTTTACCACATATTACAGCTGATCTGGAATAGGCTCTCTTTAGTTATACGCAGCGGCACCTCTGTGTCACAGTTTAAGCGCCTTATCAACTTGCTTTTGGGTTCAGATGATATCTGCAGTCTGTTTGCAGATAGATGCCTCCCAACAGAGGCACTCAGAGATGGCTCTGTAGGACCCTAGTGTCTCCAAGATAGTGAAATTGGTAGTAACTCAAGAATAAACATAGGTGGGATCTCTCTCTATAGTCTATTCAATGAATCAAATAGCTTTTAATTTGGGACGGTGAGAACAGTGTGCATCGGGCAGTTTCCTCTCTGTTGTATAGCCGGTACCATCGTACTAGGTTGGCCCACATGGTAAACAGGATGCTCATATGACTGAAAACGACGTCCAAATCCACTTAGTTGTACTGCCGTAAAGTCTGTCCTCAGAATTCCTCGCAAACATCCATACATCATATTGTTTTGCTTTCTACACACTATGACTCCCATTAATTCACTTCTTCACGCCGAAACTTCGTATTCAGAGGCCTCTGCATACGCCCTTATGCATGACGACTGCTTTTCCCTTGTCTCTTAAATTCCCAATTAGACGCCTCAACTGATATGCTCCGCCGTGCAGACAAATAGTTCTAGTGCTATGCTTTGTGTTTGTCATGCATAAAAGTCAGACTACTATCCAGCCATAGTTTATTACTGAAAAGACAGATAATTGTTGTGCAACAACTCTTAAACCTGCATCTGACCTCTCTTTATCGGTTACTCTGTTCATGTCTTGTTCCTCATTGACTTAGGTACTCAATAAATTGTCCCATACCCATGTTTCTTTTTCTTCCCCACAGGCAGGTTCAGCCGGTGGTTTCCCCACTAATAAACTCTTCCGATCGGCTCACTACGTGAAGTGGCTCCTGTTGTCTGAACTTATTCTAGGGTGTCGTGGCAGTTAAATAATAAAATACAATGAATCGAATTGTACGTCGATCGCAGTCCTCAGTTTCCTTTGACGTTCCGTCCAGCGCTCGTTGCACACCGAATATAAATAAAAGTCTTTGACGCCAAGGAAACGCTTCGTAAAAATGGGAATCATGTGCACAAAAATACATCGAAAATAAAGTTTACGCTTATTTTCGCCTTTTTTTAAAAAGATTTCATGACATGGTAGTAAAAAATTGATACAAAGAAGGCAAACTGTACGAGGATTTGAGCATTGCCGGTTGCACTGCTCGTATTCGACTCTCTAGCCAGGTAGTTGGAAAGCATCGGCATCTTGGCACAACCACCCGGTTGCCGGCAACACGACATCGTGCCAATGGCGAGGATGCTTGACCGGGTGCCTTCAGCTTAGCGAGTCCAGTTAAACTATCAGGGTCAGCATCAGCGTTGAATGTCACCGAACCCCAGGCTATCGATTTTGGGAAGGTGTGTGACGCTACAGTTGCATACTCATTAGCTCCACGGTTCACCTTAAACTTATGGATCCATTTGGGATTGTTCCTGGAAATGTTGGCATTACATGCTGTTTGCATCCAAACATACAGGCTCTCCGACTAATAGCACTCACTCACCTCATGAAGAAGAGAATCGAAACTGGCCTCATAAGAAGCGCCAACCTTGAAGACATACTGAATGGTTTAATGATGAGACCTTACGCTTCGTGGGCTGCAAAATGAGAACAGCTTCTGGACAGAGTCATAACTTTAGCTTAATTTATCCCTGTGAATTGTTTCCAATGCCACTGAACCAAACAATCAATACATGCTGCAGGATACCGAATGCCACTGGTTCCTAGCTATGTCATCGGTTCTCACCATGATTTGAACCTAGTTTTACGTGCTGTCTGTGAACAGCAATAACTTGTTGATTATTCGCACCCCTTCAAGCCTTACTACCGTTCGGCGTTTGATATCCTATGTACGTTTGCTGTTTATGTGACTCATTAATTGAAGGGCAGAGGCCCAGTCACGGGTGCTTTTAAGCATTGTAGAATCCCAATGACGACGTATATGATCATTCATAGACAATGTGACCTGATAAGTCACCTTTTACTCCTTAAACTATAGATAACTTGTACAGGTTTTATTCTCTCAAGGAGCGATTCCCACGAAGTCCCGAAACGTCAGAAATCTATTTTCCCACTTCATTGCTATTTTTCAAAATGTATTTCATTTATAATCCAATTACCCAATGCTCAACTTATTCAGCTCTATCAGGTCAAATTTTGGCGCCTAAGTTTACAAAATTCTGATAATGGTCAGTAAAGGAGCTGGTGAAGACATACCCGGTGCTGCTGTAGAGGCATGCCTGATGCATGACATATCCCTGGAACCTCGAAAGCGAAGTTCTACGATATCTAGGCGGTTCATACATACTGTATTGGGTACGCAGTGAAGTGATAAACTGTTGTGTTAGATACAAACGAAGATTCTGGTGAAGTGGCGCGTTTATGGCAGAAGGCTATGGATCCAATTTATACACCCTTATATTTTCCATCTGTCAGCACAGTGCCAACGCCTGTACCAGGTTGACTCCCTATCCTCACCATTTATTTATAGGAGCAATGATGTCAATAGCCAATTTGTTCAGAGACGAGTGTCCCTCGTCTATCAGTGAATCTTCGCGACTTCATTTCGCCGGACCTGATTACAGTAAAGTTGTGAAAGACGCGCAGAGGTGAGCTAATGCCGAACGTTTGAAACAGTGATTAACGGGAACACATGCAGCCGAATGAGCAGAACAGCAATCTCGTAAGACGAAATTTTACCTGAAGCCTAGGTAACTTAGGTTGCCAGTGCAGTCTTCATCTCCCAGAAGAAAACTGAGAAACAGCCCATTGTGAGTAACATCCTACGGAACCTTAAATTGTTATTAACTTACAAATCGAAGGTGCTGATATCACTGCATAACTGACGAACCCAGATTGGATTGCCATCGCGAGTAAGTAATGTATTTATGTAGATTGAAAACATGGTTTAGCTTGTTTGAGGTGATTGATATCTGCTATTGAATGGCCTGAAGAAAGCGCAGGCAAGTCCTCAGAGCGCCTCGAAGGCATATGGAGTGAGAACGATCTCGGCCCACTTGTAACTCCCAGAGGAGAACTCAACAATCTGAAATGAAGATGATAAACAACAAGTACAAAGAGGATGAAGTTTCTAAACTGAACTTAACTGCCGTACAGTTTGCCGCCGTTTCGACGCTAATTACTGGAGACCTGAAAATCAGCAAGAAGCACATACTGCAGTGTTTGTTCGACGAGTGTTTCATGAAAAGCCTGTCCTGAAAGTAGACAAAAGCCATTAATGGCATACGCAATATGCACATGGGGTTGAGTAAGAAATGTTAGTGATAAATAAGCTGTTAACTACTTGTCTGGTTTGTAGAAGCCTTGAGGCACTTCTGTTGGACTCAGCATGTCGTTGCGGACGAATTTAGAAGGTCCTACAGTGAGCATGTCAAATCTTGGTTTCATAACCAAAATGACTATTGCGGTCGCGAATGCAGATGCAAATTAGACACCAAGTTGTATACTCATTTCATTTCTATTTTTCTAATAGGTTTCTGGCACTGTGGCAGGAATGGTACCAGTTAGCGACGTGGAAGACATCTTTCGTCGCAGCGAAGCCCTCTTAGGTGGGAAAAGCCAATGGGTACATCTTTGATCACCCTCTGCTAATAAATTATTCACTATACCACAATTTTTTTTGACAGAGAGTGTACTTCGTAGTAAAAGAATAAACCAAAGGTTAGCTGGTTATAGGAAGTGCAGCGACACCGTCAAAAACGTTTCCGCTAGATGCAGAGCCACAACAGGAAATGCCAAACCATGGCTAAAAACGCATGCGTTAGATGTAGGATCATAATTAGTGATCTAGAGCCAGCGTAGGGCCATTTGCAAAAGATTGGGCAAAACGTAGGGTAATTTGCAAAAACATATGGCAGGAGGCGGAGAAAACGCTTCAAAAAGCTGCGCCTTGCCTTGTAGTTGGCCGGACGTTTCATGCAGTTAGTGGCCTAACGTTCCGTTATTTGGCACGATGAAATTGTTGACTGGGTTTTACTCTTCGGGGACCTACCCGACACCTTTTCCCTGCCATCCTACCATTCATGCCCAGGCACCCGTGCAAATGTGAGTCTCCGAAAACTCATTAATTTTCCCAGCAGCTTGTAGCTTTTTAATCAACTCAATCCACAAGTTACGATTACCAAATCGCAAAACTCTAATCTCACCAGAGCTAGAAGCAGGAAAGCAGCTGAGATTTCCTTGCTCCCTACGGGGAAAAACGTAACAAAAAGAATCAAGACCTCTGAGCTGGATGCTAAGTAAAGAAATATCAGGTTTCTGAACTCACTCTTAAAGGATTGAATAGTGTGGGAAACGTGGTCCAGGTTTATTTGACTTTCGTGCGCTACCGTCAACACACTTCAAGGTCGTCGAAGCTTAACTTGGTAAGTATTTCTTACAAGTTCTGGCATTCCATATTGTCCTAATGAACTAAAAGCCGTCTTAAATAAAATAAGATTTCAGGGTCAAGTATCAAAACTTCATTTGGTTACCATGTCGAGGTTAAGTATATGGTTTACTTTATCCAATATATATTTTCTCATGGCCAGAACACGAGTCCCTGAAGCTAGTCGTGGTAGAGAATGTAGATCTGAAAGAGTGACTTCGCAAGGTAGCCTCCAGATTTCTGCATACTTTTGCTCTCAGCCTCATCAACACTTATTGGACTGGACATGATACCGAATGGAACACAGGCCAAACGGGGTTTCGCATAATTTCCCCTCATGTGATATAGTATTATGCAAATCTGGTTCCTCACTAGAGAGCTAAAATCACATGTTTGACCTGTTAATAACGTCAGGAACTGGGGAAAATCTTAAGCTTGCTCAAACTTGTTCCACTGGGACTGGCTGAACGGGACCTTTCACTTACCACACCACAAATCACTCTTCACCACCAGCTATTTTGAAGACATCCGGTACTACAAAAGTCTTGACAGAGATGTAAGGGAATTGAATGTAAGGAGGGGGGGGGGAGAGAGCTAAGGTCTTTCTGTTCCCACCTTTCGCCATAAGTCGTACTCCTGTTGGAAAACTGGTTATCGTCTGGTGCTAGTGATATCAGAATGAGCACCAATAGGGGGAAGATCTGTGTTAAACCTCTTTCTCCTTCTCTCCCATCTGTTCAATCCATCCCACTCTGGTCTCACTTTTTCTTCCCTTTAATACTGTTTCAGCTACTAAGTCAATACATCAGATGAACTGTTGCTATATTGTAGGGTTTATCGAAATTCAGTCAGCAACCGCGTGCCCACTCGTTTAGTAGGCAATAAATTACACATTGTTCAAGGGCTAATGACAGTGCCTGACTGCTCTAACCTCGGTAGGTGAGGTGGTGTGTGAACGCATGATCCATTGGTTGAAGTCAGCTCTCTAAACCAATGAGCCATAATGCTAACTCAGTGCACCCCCCATTTGTATTCTTATGGCCTAACGTATTTAGAAGGTTATTCTATTGATATATACCAACCTACACTATCCCTGATGCCACAAAAAGTTATTCGACTACGTTTCGAGACCGACATGACAGACAAAATCAACAAAGAAACCTCGTACACAAGCGCACCGGTCCAAATATCCACACTTCATAGTAGTATACAGAAAACAAGTGGATAGAAAAGGAGTATGCCACGCAGCAGTCCATTCTGTCTGTTGTATGATTGAAACGGCAGTTCAAAGTTGAAGATAAGCCGTTACAAGTTTTTGATTATATTTGCTTTCGTACCGTTGTTCGCTTGTGGTGGGACTACTGTTTGAAGAATGTTAAGGTCAGGTACAGAGTGCTAAACAAATAAGCAAGCCAGTCGTTGATGTTGTGAACCTTCACTCACTGAGGTGGCTTGTACACATGTTGCATCTGTCGAACCACTGCCTACCTCGACGTGCAATGCTGACCGAAGTTGCATTAGGTTAAAAGAAGGTTGAGAGTGACCACAGTGGGACTTAGTGCCAGTCTGTGAAGTTTCGGATTCGCGAATCGAGATGTAGGCTTCCTGACTGGGGCCCTCAAAATGATTGATATCCCTGATTGAGTAGTATTAGTAACATGGCTGGTAATCGATCAAAATAATCAAAACGTACACACACCTTATTATCTTAGAAGTCCTCCGACCAAAAGTCGCTTGCATATCACAATTTATTCGACGAGGTGTGCTGACTGAGACCCTTGTTCCTTAGGGTCCCATCGTGGCAGAAACATCTGTTGGGTAGTGGTAAGACGAAAAGCAGTTGTCGCTATATTGCAAATTGCTACGCTAAGGTGAAGGCCCGAGGGTGAAGTCGTACTGCTGGGTGAACGGGGTGTTTCCTGCGCCTGACCGGCAGCACCATTCTGATACTGCCCCCCTGTGGGAACGAGGGTTAGATAACTTCGGCCCCCGAATGACACCCTTCTCTCTGCCTTGAGGTCTTCCGTTGCCAGTGGTATGAGCTTTTCTATCTGACGTTGGAACACTCAAATTTTAAACCAGCAATCCTAAAAATGACGTGTGACAGACCTCAAGTAGATGTCACCATGTGCTCTGCAGTCACAAACATATTTTCCATTTACTCTTCCATGCACTCTGCAGAAAAAACTTACGACCAGGAAGCACTAACCGCGTGTACATTTCCAGCAGTGTACAGAACCCAATCAAACATCAGCTACTCTCCATACATTTTTGTGCCCCTTCACATCCCAATGCCAACATTAAGCCATTTACAACTCCTACAACCTCACACTGCGACTATAACCAATCATACAAGCCAGCGAAACACCGCTTCTAGTCTGTTAAAAGCATGCTACCGACGTCGCACTGGAGCTATCAATATTCAAACCCTGGACCAAATTCGACAGCAAGTACATCTCTAGACAACTCTGGAATGGCGAGTCATGGATGTAAGTCGTGGTTTTGAGATATATAAACAGGACCAAAGCATGGTTGTTCTCTGGACCTCACCTGGGCAGTGTAATGTACCTGCGAAATTTGATGGCTAGTTGTCGTGGACTTTCTAGAGTAGGTATAGTATTAAGTTCTCGAGCAGAAAGCGCATTTCTCGGCTAGATACTAGTCGAAAACTGTCTGTGTGCTGTCCGACTGAGTGAATTTGTAAGAACTGGAAAAGATCGTGAGGTTAACTGATGCTTATTAGTAACCTCCGCCTATGTCCCTACCGGCTAAAGCTGGGGTAGCGCAAATGATGAATTCTATTGAAAGCTGTCAGTTCTGTTAAAAAGCGAAACGTTTAGATATAGTGATAACACTAGGTGACTTCAGCTCCCAAGTAGGGAAATTGAGCCCGTCGGAAAGGTATTGTAGAGGTATCTGTTTTATCCTATGCCAATAAACCGACAACAGTGATCCCTTCGTGCAATTTTGTCCTCACAACCATTTACTTTTTTTTGGTTAGCCGCAACTTCAAGAGTAAGGAGAGACAATGTTTCACTTAGCGTCCACCGCCACCAAACCAACGCTTGACACAGGTAGATCATATTGCTATCAGCCACCGTAGTGGTGGAATGTGTCGACCACTTTACTTGCTTGGGCTGTCGCATCGGCCCGAACGGGCGTTGCCGACGAAATCTCAGCTCCAATACAGGATGCTCGTCTGGCATTTGGTATATTGCCAGCAGGATATACGATTACCTATCTAGCAAAGAATGAGTATACTGGCTTGTAGTCCGTTCTGTCCCATACGGCTGTGAGATATGATCGTTAAAAGTAAAGGACATGAATCGATTACTGAGTTTTGATCACAGATTTCTTCCTAGCATTGTTTACGTTTGGTGGAATCACCACCTTGTGAGCAATGTTAAAGTCAGGTGGAGGTTACTAGGCGAGGTGAGCGAGTCGAATGATGAAGTTGTGAACCTTAGTCAACTGAGATGGTTTGGACATGTACTGCGCATGTCAACCCACTGCTTACTTTGACGTGGCATGATAGGAGGAGCTGTGTATTAGATTGGAAAAGGGTTTAGGGTGGTCAGAAAGAGATGTGTCACCAGTCGATGAAATCTCTTAATACTGGTCTGAGTAGTGTGGCGCGACGTAGTCTGTCTGGTTAGGTGTCATCGAAACGAAAATAATCAGTGGTTGAGGACTCTTGGTGACATGACTGGGAATCAGTCACAGTTGCGCTGATGCCTTCACTGTTTGGCGCCTTCGGAAGCTTAAATATTCGCACATTATTTGAGCTTACTAAGGATACTGGCAAAAAGAAGACGATAGCGAGTGAAACATCGCCGAAAAGGATGTAATCCTGACAAATTCTTAGGACACAGGTTTCCAGAACGTGGGTTGGAACACTGAAACACAGTTCAACTGGCCAGCAGGAACGCTTCATTTGCTCGACACACAGCCTGAACCTGAATAAAACGTAGATGTTGATCTTCCAACTCTTGTCGAAGTTAAGAAGACTTTTTAACCCAAAACAATGCAAAGCAGCGGGACCTGACAGTTTGCCACCCGAGGTTTGTGAAGATGGTGGTAGGAAATTGCTGATTGTAGTGGAAGTAATAAGTAATGTGTAAGAATCAGAGCTAGTCTCATCAAACTGGTCTACTTCACCGACCACTCCAGTCCATAAGAAGAGAGAAGAGTCTTCCTGTGACAGTCTTAGGGGAATCAGTTTGAATAATATCGTATAAAAGATCCTCGGGTCCATAGTTATCCGACGCTTAACTGATGCTGGAGAAAACCAGACAGCTTTCAAACCGGGTCGAGTGGATATTGACCATATTCTCACCCTCCGGAAGTTTCTGAAACGTAGGCATACTTACCAGATACCGACACCTTCCATATTTCTTCGCCTGAAGGTAGTATTTGAGTCTGTCGACCGTGAGCTGTTGTGGAAGTGTCTGCCTGTGAAGGGAGTACCAAACAAGTGCACAACGCTAATCAAAGCTTTCTACTTGAACATAGCCGTACAAGTGCTGATAAAGAGTTGTCATGTGAATTGCCGACAACCAGTGATATCCGCCAGGGATATCTTGTTCAACTTCGTTATAGATGTAATTATGGTCAACCTTAAGTATTCCAGACTTTTAATGGATTGATATACTCCCAGGAGGACAGGCATCTGGTTGGCCTAAAGTACGCAGATGAAATCGTCTTGTCAAGCGCCAAGACAAAATACCAGGTCTTCAGAACGCGTTGAGCAAAAATCTGAACACGCTTACCATGCGTTTCACACCTTTCAAGTGTGGAACGGTACTTTAGTGCAGGTCTGTAGCTACTTCCAGAGACTGAATCTGTAGAATGCACCGACTACTTCACTTAGTTGGAGCGTTGCGTCAGCTCGAGCGAGCTGTTTGGGGACGAAATCTTATCTCAGATACAAAAGCCCTGTTTGGCATCTGCCAAATAGGGTTATCTGTGGCACTGATTGGCGTGATATCTATTAAAGGACAAGTATACTGCTCCGCAGTTTATTCTGTCCTGTTATACGGCTGTGAGACTTGGCCGCTAAAAGTAAATAAATTGCCTACAAATTGCAGGTACATAACTGGGAGATAGCATAAAGCAAAAGTGCCTACTACTAAACTTTTCTACATTTGCTATCACATCAATCTGCGGATTACCTTTGAGAATTTTAAGATCGAAATGATCTTAGCAACTACGTGCATCAGGCAATGAGCTATACTTATTGTATGAGGGCTGATGATATTACGTGGCTGCCGAAACCTCTGTGGGTGGAGGTGATGTTCGAACCCATAATTTATTAGTTGAAAGTCAACTGCCTAAAACAATCAGCCACAATTCCAACTGCTTTTTAGAATGAAATAGGCTATGTTTTATTGATGCCACTCATTAGTCTATCGTTTTTTTACTGTATCTCTAATTCTGCTATGTTCTGTCGAATTTCTATTACTTTCTTTTCCGTATATGAAACTCTCATGGACGCTGATAGCAGTCACAAATATCAATAAACCCAAATAAGGAAGTGCAGTGGTTCAAACTAATTCAAACATGCTGTCGGAAAGTCTTGTATCTAATGAACTGATCTCAATGAGAAACACACATCCAGACAATCAGTGTGGGACTTGGCATAGGAGTGTCCATCGCCTAACATCGACATTACTCACACGGTGATTCTACCATGCCTGAACAATGCTACGGGAACGCATGTAATCTCTTTGCATATACTTCTGACAGCTGGATGTTCTATAGATGCAACAGTTAGGTCACCTGTCTGAAACATGATTCTCAAACTGAACCTGAGTGTCGAATTTAATTTTGATTTTAAGCCGCATTTGTTACCGAGTGATAGAATTTGACTTCAGGAAAAGTAACTGAAGGCATATTTCCCCGGCGAAAAAACCACTTCTTTCATTATTGGAAGGTTTTTGCTGTTTTTCGAAGATGTTAATATTCCTATTGGGTCATAAAAAAAAAAGACTAGAAAAAGATGTTTTCAGCGACTGTACGACTTTTGATAATGATTTCACCGAAAATAAATCTCTTCGCCGTAGTTTTTCTTCTTCGTTCAAGACCGTACTTATTTCATTATTTTTGTTTGAAATATTGAAGATCACATCAGTGTTCCACTTGTTTCATTATTTCAACCTTGACTGTAAAAGTACTTGAAGTCAACTCCTGCAAAGAATTGCAAATATAGAACTCAAATACAGAAACGGGTTAGTAAGTGACCGAATTACTTAAACTGTTGTTGTTCCCGTTGCACAAAGTTTCCTCTGCGTAAAGATTCCACATACCCCTGGGTGAAATATCGTAGACATGCATGGATGCGCTCGCTGGGGCTTTTGATAACCCAAAACGGAATCCATGCATGTTACTGCATATGAGGGACGAATAAAAGGAATATTTCTGGTCTCATTTTCGTTCGCTTAGCACACAGGAGGTACTGAGACCAATCATTACGTAGGGATTCTTACTTGTTTTGCCACTACAGACTGAATGGTGTGAAGCAGTTGAAAGTTACGTCCCATTGAGTTAGACACAAGATGTTCAGTTGATAAGTTCCAAGTTCGAATCCGACTCCACTTCATCCTGGGTAACCCAGTGATGTCATAAGCCCTCATGACGCCGTACATAGTTCTTTTCTGAGTCGCGTCATTCTGTATTATATCATTCATGTCAATGTCAGTTTAGTTTGAGGGAGTTTTTCTCATTTACCCTTACATATTGCTTTTTTTTCTGAGCCCGAATCACCATCGGAAGTTTGGTATTAACTTCTTTTAAGAATTCTCTTTACCCTCTTTCAACGCTACCTATGATGGAGGTTCAACTTGATTATATACAGCTAGGTTTCCTTAATTTTAATAGCTTTGTATCGCTGTGTGCAGTGCCCATTCAAAAAATCATCATAGCATCTGATGAAATTTCGCGCAAACACCAGCTGTTATTTTCAGATTTTATTTTCGAATTGACCTTAAATTTCGAGGGATTATGGCTATCTTTTGTAACGGTTTAGTACAGTTCGACATGGCGAATTCTGAACTTGTTTAACAAATGGGTTAATTTTCACTCATGACGAAGTATTTATCTTGGTGACTCGCAGTGGAATCCAGGACGCACGTTTTGTCCTGTCTGGGACTCGTTGGCTGGATGTACCTGCACGCCAGTGAGTGATATTGTTCCCACTGAGACTCGAAACCCGTACTCATCGCTTCAAACGCCGGAGCGTTATCCCCTAGGCCACTGGGTATCATTTATTGTTGTTTGATACCTGTAATTTCCGGTTGCTACACAGGGTCGAATTACTCAACCGCTCACTGGGGTGCAGGCACATCCAGCTGACAAGTCCAAAATAGGAGGAAATGCGCGTCTTGGATTCTACTGTGAGTCACCAAGTTTGAAACAACATCATGAATAGCCGGCAATATACAGGTATCTACTTAGGAGCCCATTTGCCAAAACAGGTTGAGTACAGTTCGACCCTGCTTCGCAACGGGAAATTACAAGAATCAAACAGTAAGTTTCTTTCATTTTATGCCGTTTGTGTGGTCAAATCAGTTACATTACGAAATATTAGTATCCTTTAAAGTAGATGAGTTTAATTCCTGGTTTCTTACTGCAAATTAGTTCATCTATTCATATTTTATACCCTCCCATGTATGTAACCGTAAATACTAAAACTAAATGGGTCTGATCGCATTTTTGAATTTGATTTTCTGTCTAACTTTTTTCCAGATGTCTGATGGTGAATATATCGCTGATGGTCCTTTAATTGACCTGGCTGGAGTAGACTGGAGGGAAGATTTATTGCCTTTTGAACTTATTTTGGTTGAACCAAATTCTCTTCCTGATCCTGAACCACAACTTTTTGGTGGTCAACGGTATTCTGAAGTTCCGAGTTCAGACACTTTTGATAGTATTCGCTGGAATGAGCTTGATCTAGAGAGTCTTCTTTTACATCTCAATCCCCCACTTTCTTTCTAATCATTATCACAACCACAGTGTTGATATTTATTAGCTTTGCATTAATTATGACGGTGACATGGTCAAAGTTAATATGTCAAGCTGAAAAGTTGCTCGGAGGTCCAGCTCCATTTATTAATTTAAGCTCTGTATTATCTTCTGAAGCTGGTTCGTTGGCATCTCGAGCACGTCGACTAGCAGCAAATGTTAATCACCCATTTTTCTCAACTGTACGCTCTTGTCTTCGAGGCAAATCTGTCAATAACTTATTTTCAATTTCCTCTGCTATATCAGACCGTCTTTTATCACCCATAACATCTGAACGTCCTTCTGGTGGACTGATTATACTTTAGTTGGTCAGTCGTATACCATTCCAACAATTTCAACAAAATTGTGCAATCAACACCGAAGTCTTGCCGAAATATTTGAAACAGTTCACACTGCAGTGGCTATTCACAAGTGAGTTAACTGTCCATTTTTTACGTGAATACAAATTTTTAGGCTGGTCGAATTATGGATTCCACTCGTTGGTTGTTTAGGGTTATATGCATAAACTCCCAATGTTTTCTCAGTGTTGACTTTATAGTCGTGTGGTGTTCCCTCATTGAATTAGTCCATGTTTTCAAAATAACCGAAATTCTATTTTATAAAGGATTCCGTTGGAAAATAACGTGTATAATTTCCTTGCTCACTGTTTCATACATGATAATACCTTTTTATAAATGCATACTACTGATTCTAATTTGTGTGTATATGACTTGGACTTCTAAATGTATCAATATTGATATGGACCCATTTCTACATAGTACTACGGGAGTTTATGTTGAATAGAATCTCTTAGCCTTTTTCAATATACGTTTCAGTGGCTAGGTTATGTGTTACGAATATCCTGTTTGCCGACTATCGGCCTGGTTGGAAGAAGCGGAAAGGTGATCAGTGCATAGTTATAACCGTAAGATTCAGGATAGTTTTGTTCGGTTAGCATCACGACTAACTAGATGTTATCCGGCAGATCATGCAACTCAGTGGCTAGAGATGATAGCAAATATGATTCAGAATCGAAACCAATGGCGATCATAAAGTAGCTTTGCTGTTACTTTGCTGCTTGAAAGTAAAACACAAGCAGTAAAGAATACTTCTTTGAATTTATGTCTCAGTTTACTTCATAATATTCTATTTCTATCTTTATCATTGTTACCATTATTGTATTATTGTTATTACCTTTATTATTGAAACTATTGTCATTATTATTATTATTATTATTATTATTATTATTATTATTATTATTATTATTAGAATACAAACATGGCACGGTAAGGGGACCAAGAAATGCACCACACAAAATATCATAACAACATTATGAAGACATAAAGAAATGGGGAGTAGATAGAGAAAGAAGAAAAACACTAAGAATAGAACGATTACAAAGGAAATCCAATAAGATACATTCAAAGCAAAACATCACTTCTCATCAGTAGAAGATTAAAGGAATCTACAGCATGACTACCACTGGTTTCGATTCTCAGCCATTTCTGATAACGTCTCAAGCCACTGAGTTGCGTGATCTCTAGGACCCCACCTAGAGAGTCATGATGCACCAACACATACTAAACCGATGCAACTATCCTTAATCCCATGGCGCGACATCATGTACTGATCACCTCCCCGCTTCCTCCTTCCATCCAGTCCCAGGGTTAGCAAACAATCAACGATGTGGAAGCTGTTGGAATGACAAGTGTAACACATGTGCAAACCACCGAAGCCGATGTTTCCAGATGATTTCACTTTGTGAATGATCATCTCCATCATGCCCAAACACACACTGTCATATCATACCTCAGAATTACTCACATGGTGTTGCCACCGGATACAAGCAATCCTATGGAGACAACGATGATAGAACATACAGAGTCGTCCCATGTCCTGAGCTCGGAGAGGCCACGTTTCACATATGTAAAGCAGAAGTGCTAGCACCGACGTGTTGTAAGCACGATCTCCCACGGTCAGACTAACGTCGAAACGGCGCCAAACGTGGCCTAGGTTGACGTATACCACTCTAACTTTCGATATGCAGTTTGGAAATTTATCACACACAACTGCCCAGGTACACGAACTTTTCGACTACTTCCAACGGCTCACCACCATTGGTGAGCACAGGCACACGCTCCTGCCAATCTTGAAAGAAGACTTTGCACTTTGATGGTGCACAGCGCATACCATACTTACGGACATTAATCGCCAACTAATTGAGTGCGATTTGAGTAGCCTTTGTTTTATCACACAGTAAGACGATATCGTCCGTATATTCAAGGTGAAATAGCTGTTCTCAGAGTAGTAGATCTACACCACCATCACGCACCTCCTTCACAGCTGTCTCAAGAATGCTGTCGATGTGAAAGTTAAAGAGGAATGGGGAAATTGATAAACCCTGCCTAACACTACTGCAGGTTTGGAACAATGGAGACAGGTGGTTATATGCTCTCAATCTGCCTGGGGTTTTATTATATGGGTCTTTCAAAGTACCCCCTTTCGGGTACGCCCCTCTCTAACAGACTATTCAAGAGCACAGCTCAGTTCAACAAATCGAAGCCAATCCTGTTGTCAAGACACAAAGCGATTATTGACCTCCATTACGTGTGGCGATGTCGAAGCATTTGCTAGAAAGTAGACACATGATCAGTACATTCACGACCTGAACAAAACTTGGTATACTCCTTGCAAATCATTTCCTCATGCGTTTCAGTCTGCGAAGTATGATAGCAGCCAATATTTTTGACGCGACTGGTAACAGACTAACACCCCGATGATTGTCACATACATTATGTCGACCCTTTTTAAGATGGCTCAAGCATGCCTTCATTGCAGAGTGATGGAACACTATCAATCTACTACACCTTTCCATACAATTTAGTTAGTTCCATGACTGGAGTTGTTCCTCCATCCTTAAATCATTGAACCATTGTACTCGCTATTTTCTGGATTAGCCCACCGGGCGTCAAGAAGTTGCAGGAAGCTCACAAAGACTCAGTGTTTATTAGCGGGGGCTTTACTCACTATCTTCGTAGCACCTTGCTAGCGCAGCCATTGCTCGTCTACACCTTCTGAAGGATCAGTAGCTAGCCTTAAATCTAGCTCGGATGGTATTTAGCTGCTACTTTTCTTAGATCGACCTGTTTAGGCCGACAATTTTGGTGATCACCGAAACCCAAGATTAGCTTAGCATACACTAAATCATGATCAGAGTCCAGACAAGTAATCCATCGGTAGCTGATTGCAATGTGATCTATTTGAGTCTAGGCTTAAATATCAGAGGGAAGACGCCAAGTAGCACAACGGCGAACAACAGAAGGGATGTGTGCGCATGCGTTCATTGTTTCAAAAAAATTGCTTAGATCAACTGATCCTTTTAGCCACTTTCAGAGACTCGGCTATGTTCTTCAAAGCTGTTTTTACAGTTGACTAGAGATGGCTCTAGACTTCTTCTGGAGGAGTGATGTTCTGTTCCCATAACTGTCTAGTTTCCCTCTGAAAGAATCTTTAGTATTCTGAGCGTCAGATAACCTTTATAACGATCTTGCTACTGTAGATTTCCTGCTTCCGTGTAGATGCAGACATGCACGTGCTGAAACCGTGTGGTCGCTGTGCAAACACGTCCTTCATAAGAATTGACGATCTTCCACCAACTCTCCTTGACGAAACTGATCGCCATAGTTGAGGTTAACCTGATGAACGCCAAATTACACAATGTCCTTGTTTGTACCGGAAGTTGATAGTGACTATAAATAGAGTTCTCCGAAGTCAGTTGTAACAGGCGATTGCCGCTATCTGTTCGTCAGGCTGGGATTCGGAAAGTGACACTTACGAGTCTTTCTGCCTGCGTTGGAATCACCTGCAACAGTCAACACATCTGAATGTTTATCTTTCAAAAGGAGATTAGAGGATTTCTAGTAGAACCTGTCTTTCACTTAATCCGAACTGAAGCAAGTAGGGACGTAGGAGAAACACAAAGAGACAACAGAAAGTTTCACTACTGTCTTTAGTCCTTATCGTGCCATTCAGTCAAACAGAGCATAAGTAACTGTCAACTGGGATACAGTCGAGCAGTGAACTTTCTGTACTAACACCTAGTGCTAAATCTACACCTACGAGAACTAGCCATCTTATCTCCAAAACTAGAAGGGTAAATTCCTCATATTGGCTGAGTGAGGCTAAGTGAATAAACGTACTTTGGTCCTGTACGTATGTCTCACCAACACAGCACACATACATGACGTGAGTTGATAGTGTTTTGTCTACTGAATCTTGTTGGGTGACTTAATGGAGGATACAGACTTTGAAATCTCAAATATATAGCTTGGAGTGCGGATCCAGGAGACTGGGGATGGTGTTTCGTGAACCCAGATCGCTATCGAGAGCTGAAAGAAACCAAATGATGAAGCATTACTGAACGACAAGTTAAAGGACAAATAGAAGGTTAGGATGTGGAAGATAGACAATCATCTGAGGGGACTTGAGTGCTGACAGAATTGTGACGGTAGTTAACTCCTCCCTGTGACCCACACCATGAAAAGCTTTTTCTTCCTCTTGAGGTACCTGGAAAGAAGTGTTAGCGCGTAACCGCGTAGCCCAAGGGATATCCATCTGAGATCAGCCATACTCAGTTATTTCGGCTTTTTCTAACACTTCATTCAATAAAGAAAGCAATATTAGCTTCGCTCAGCTCACCGTCTGCGGAAAACACCTTACTGCTGTCACACCCCATTCGTCGGGTAGTACAACCTAACTTTCGAATTCACATCAAAGCGAAACAATTCACACTGTAACGGTAACTTGTTTTTTTACCACTGTTCAAATGATCTTTCTAGTGTGGTAGGACTTCAAGGAAACAAGCCTTCCAACCGGCATAGCTCGTTGGGTCATTGTGATATGCCTGCCCGACCACCATATCAATACAGCAGCTATCCGTCCTTATGCAAATACTGTTTGACCTGTTACGTATCTGATTACAATATGGTCTATTTGATTCCAGGCTTCACCGATAAAGGAAGACATCAAATAGCACAACATACGACTGTTTGGAGAGTTGTCACTGACTAGAATCAAGTTTCGGTCTGCGCGAAATCGCAGATGTTCCTCACTGTCTGACCTTCACCCGACTATCCCCATTGACCGCCTAAATGACCTAGCACTGAGATGAAACTTCCTATCTGTGCATCCAAGTTTCCAGCCAACACTGTGATCCATCGAGCGCACCAGGTGGAAAAGGTCTCTCAGTCGATATTGGTGCTTGTCCTTAACTGCATCCGAACTAACATCAGTCATGAAATACGGTAGTTACTTTTCACTCCAGTGGCACCATCCAGTGCATCAGCATACAAATGACTGCTGGTGGAGGTCCCAGCGACCGGTACAGATTCCACTCTGGCACTCAGCGTGACACCAACATTAGGAAATCTGAATACTGATGCCACAAGGTCTCTAGATGATCGCACTGGGAGTACTCTTTTTGAACTGACATACGGGAAATTATTCGAAGCACTACACTGGGGTCTCGTATGCGGATCTCAGAGAAACAGCATACATCAACAGTGAAGATTTTCAAAGTCCTAGCCAAATCTGTTTGTTATCCGATTTGCATCATGGTCTGAACGCTGAAGGCAGTCAGATGAAACAATGTACACATGGTTTCAGTGTAGTTGAGTCAGATATCGCACTGAAGGATAGCCTTGTGAAAGCAATTGTGTAGCGACTCAAAACTTTCCAGGTAGCTCATAATTATAGTCAGTGGTGCGCAGCTGATTGAAACAAAAATACACAAAAGGATAAATTTTAAAAAGTTGACCACTGTGATATACACAGTAAAGCGTTCAGAAAAATCTCGTTTGACTTCTGAAACACGCTTTGATTATATTGAAATTTGCTTTCATAATGATTGAATCAGATTTAACGCTCAAATTCTTCTAGAATATTCGTGACAATTACGGACTGAATATTTATAACATTACAGTTCATATAGAAAAATAACGACGATAAAAAGATGATGAATCTAATTTGTGGATAGAAAATTCGTGATGCTATGAATTTTGTTTTTGCACGAAGATTTAGTGAGGGCCTAAAAGTCTTTATTATTAATATTTCATCAATTGTATGTAGTCTCTGATACTCCCTGGACGTCCGGGTTTAAGCAGGTGATTGAGACCATTACACAAGTCTTTTACTTGAAGTCAAATCTACAAGGTAGCGAAAGATTGAATGCTTTGTATTCCCATGGCTACCGTTAATCAAGGTGGATTCACATACCATTCTTCGGTTTTGAATGGCGAGGTAAGTTGGACTATCTCATGGGAGATGTTATGAATGCAGTCTGTATAAGAGCACTTCAGAGGAATGACTGGTTTCATCCCACTCTCAGCCTTGTCAGGGAGCTTGGGGTCATTGTTTGTTGAAAATTAAAAAAAATTGAAATTCACTCAGAAACCTCGTGCGCATTCATGCAGTTTGTAGTGAGCCAAACCTGCATTAGGAGTAATGATACTACCTGGCTTCTCAGACCTCAGTAGGTGGAGCAGGGTTTGAACTTGTAATCCATTAGTTGGAAGTCGAGTGCCTGAACCAGACGAGCCGCAACTCCACGAAATACTTATTGATCGAATCCGTGTATTGCTTGTTTTTTACTGTTTTGCGTGGCTTGGTGCTTGACAAGAATTCCATTAGGATCTTAGTTGTAGGAATTTTTTACGGTCTCTAAATAAATTATCGTATTATTTTCTTATTGTCTTTCCATCCTTATATTGGTGTAATCTCTTTATTTTCTTCATTATTGCGATTTTTCGTAATGATCGCCTTTCAATTGATTGTTGAGATTCGTGATGACTTGAACCAACCTACTTCAACACTGGATTTTACGTTATCCTAGCCAGCTCTACTTTGTGTCCCACATTATTTAGCAAAGAGCAGTAGTTAAACTCATCTACTGCATAAAAAAGTGCATGTGAAATCCGAGTTTTATTATCACACCTAACACACATGTATGCACAATATTGATATTTATGGTGAGCAGATAAACAGTACCAAATTACTGAATGTAAATGCATGTGTTCAACGTTTGTTACATTAACTTAAAATTGTGGAAAATGTTTAAGACGACCCTATATCAAATACAAAGGCAACTGGTCAAGTGCTCCTCCTATGTTTACAACAGTATCTGATTATTTCGACAGAACAAGATTAGATGGGCACAGACTTCTTGTATAATGGTTAAAAACTAAATGAATTCGTAGATCACGAAAATATTTCCTTATATTTTACTTGGTGATCATACTACTGCATTCATAAAATTTACTATAGCAGTCGACTAATTTACAGTGGGATCTGGAGAAAAAGAATGAAGACAACTGATTATGAGAGATTTCACGTAATCAGCTTGAACAAATTACCGGGTAGTAATGTAAGCCTTCGTGCATTACGTCTGGTTCGTGGCTTTGCGCACATGCCTGTATCTGCGTTCGGTAATATTTCAACAGCGAGTACTTGGAATGAATAAGTATTTTGTACTGCTAATTTTTTTTTCCGTTTAACTTTCTAGTACGTAATCTAAATGTCTATTTTGGAAATTGTTTTCTAGAAGTCTGGTCGATTTAGACGACTCGGATCGAAACATTGATGATCATGAAACATGGCTTAAAAATATGGAGGTGGCTAATAAATTAGCTACCTTATCGGGCGACGTGCTGCTTGCATCAGTTTCTACCAGTTTGGCTAGACTTCATCATGCTAAAGTATGTTAAATTAATTTTTTTGTAAACGACACCAATTTCATTTTTTGCATTTTCCTGATAGATATTAAGAAACAAGTGCCATGAGATGTTGCTTTGTTGGTTTTCTTTGAGCTAAAAGATTCTTGAGGAGATTCTTAGCTCAGTACTTAGTAGTTCATCCCGACGTGGCGCTATAAGATGAGCGATCGTTGTGTTGACTTAGCATCTGTAGGTGCCTCTTGAATAACTGGATGTAGTCCGATATATCATACAATTCAGTGACTCGAGACAATAACAGACAACATTCAGGATCGAAACCAGTGATGATCATGCCAATTTTATTATGATTATTTTTCCCTTGGGTTCCTAGTGGAACGTAGGGCTTCAGTAGCACGCCTCCATTTCTCTCTCTTCTCTGAAGTCTTTTGAACTTGTCGTCACGACTGCCCACAAGCTTTCATTTCTTCCTCACATGGTCTCCTCCATGTCACCCTCAGCTGGGATGCCCAACTCGTCGTTTTCCCTTTGGTTTCCACTCGACGGTCTCGTGCGTGATGTCCCCAGTCCGTCTTCTCAGTGTACGCTCAATCCATCTCCACTTTCTTCTGCATATTTTTTGGGCGATGGGTTCTCGATTGGTTCGTTCCCAGAGTTCCTCGGTGCTTATTCTTTCTGGCCATCTGATCTCCATATTCAGTACCGAGTGAGCGTAGGCGGCAGCTGTTGATGAATGTCTGTAGTTTATTGGAAGTGCTTTTCGTAACGCGCCAAGTCTCTCGACCATCACATATAAGCACTGACTTGACATTGATGTTGAAAATCCGGATCTTGTTCTTTATGCTTAGTCCATTTCAGTGTAGTAGATCTCCACACTGGTTTCAGATTAATGAAGGCCTGTCTTGCTTTTCCGATCCTGGCTGGTTTTGACATCCTCATCTGTCCCTTCGCCTGTAGTTGAAACGATGCTGCCTTGCCTAGGTAGGTGAAAGAAACAACTTCCTTTTGGTTTCTCCCATTGATGGTGACTGATGCTTGTTGTTGTTGGTTGGGTATCTTCATCATCTCTGTCTTCTCTACATTCACTTGAAGTCCTGTTCTCGCTGCCCCGCCTCTTCTGTCAACTTGCTGGTTTTTGCTTGCACATCTTCGAGTTTGTGCGACAAGACATTAGACATAAATCATTATCGGCGAAATCCCGATCTTCTAGGGTCTTTTCATCTGTCAAACAGTGCATGCCCATCTTCTCGCTCCTCACGGTTTGCTGCATGATCCAGTTCAGCTCACCACAATCAGGAAGATGATCGGTGATAGTAGGCGGCAGCCTTGTCTTACTTCTGTCTTCACTTCAAAGGCATCACTGAGCTTCCCATTGTGAATCATTACTTGGTATGTGGCGTCGTCATATAACTGTTGAATGAGGTTGATAAAGGTTTGTGGCACTCCGTAGTGTTTAAGCAACTGCCAAATTACTTGTCGGTGGACGCTGTCGAAGGCCTTTTCAAAATCGATGAAGTTGAGGCAGAGTTGAGTTGAATGCCATTCTATGCTCTGTTCTTTTGATCATGCCAAAGTAAGGCAAAAATAACGGATGCTGAGAAATGACGATCGTAATTTGAAATAGACTATTAGCTGTGGTAGCTTTCAAACTTGTGACTACAAAGCCCACTAGTTCGGGACTATCGATCAAGCTGCAACACAGTGAACATTTGTAAAACGTAGGTATCATAATATGTAACACTTGAACATAGACAAGTAAACAGTTACATTGACGGACATAGATTCTTTCAAAAGTCTCCGTCAGTTTCACTTACCACAATTCACTATAACTGAAGTAGGCTGATATTAAAAATATGAGTGTAAAATGTGTGTGCATGTGGGGTAGGGGGGTGGGGTGGGGGAGGACAAACAAAAGAAGATTAACACAGTTTAAAGTGTGGATATGAAAGGTAAAGACAGATTTGAATAGGTTTTTAAAGGGGCTGGAAGAAACTATAGGATGTAACAGCAATAGTAAGAAATCAGAGCATAACCATGAAAGAATACATGAGCAGATTTGAAGTACTATATATAAGTAAACAGACCTCGAGCCATCTATTCATGTTTTTTGTAGCTGGTCGGATGGCACTGTTAGAAGATAATAGGGAAATCCATCAACCAAAAACCACTTGTCACTTGATTACTTCCTGATTACCGTTTCAGTATTGAATGATTTACTGCCAGGATCACATCTACGCAACCACTATATCTTCGCTTTATAGACGTATGTAAAATACTTTTGGTAGCAAAGCTCAAAAGGAATATTAATGAAAGACAGATAAATGAATGTAAAACCATGCATAAAAGCATATTAGTTTAGAATATCATGTTTTAAAGCAGCACATGAATATAAATTGAGTAGAAACAAAAATATTCAAATCAAGAAAGGTGTACAGGTGAAGAGAGAGAGTGTATGTCATTTAATCAGCAACACTCCTCCTATTTGATAGACTTAGCTGTCACACTTCATGTCAGCATATCAAAATGGAGGACATCAAAACCAAAAACAGGGAACTAGTAAGGTATCTCAGAATAAGCGAAAACAGAGACGAATCAATATTAATATTCAGGATGATAATTAAGATGAAGATTATGTATCGACACATCTGTGCCACTAAGATACAATTGCGAGAAATTTCCCCTAGAGTCTGCAACAACCAATTTTAATTATGACAAAGACGCCAACCGCATCAACAGTCAGCGATTGATGCCATGTTTTAGTCTGAACAGATTTAATATACTTCGGCTAACATGGCGTGTTGGAGTAGACAGTAACTAGGCCTGTTTCACACATATCCTAGGGACTTGTGTTGATGATGGTTCACAACCTCAACTGATAACTTCCTTCTTTCACCTAAGATGAAACTGTAGGCTTGACATCTATTTTCGTAATGTGGGGATTGAAAAGCATTCGAAGAGTGGTAGAAAGTCAACGGTGGTTGAAGACTTGTAGTCTTGTTTAACCTTCGTTTTAATTGAAATATTTCACAGTCGTATGGTATATGAGGAGGATGGTACTGTGCATTAGGCTCAATCATGAATTAGCAGTAGGATAAATCGTTGTTGCACTAGATGGCAAAGATTGAGCAAGCCCTTTTTATCCGTTCAGATATTTCGTTGGTCACTGGGGTGTCTGATGTGACCTGATTTTTCAGATGAGTGAAGTTATGAAGTTGCTCAACCACTTGGTTTCCCATTGTTAGAAAAGGTACCAGCAAAGGCCAGACTTGTAGTGGTGGTTTGCATTCAGGTGGTGAGAAATGCACTGCAAACATTCTGAAATTTGCACTGAAGGTGTCCAGAAGACTGCATCTTGTCAGCGTCTACACCTAACAGAACTGTGTCGCCTATGTACTCTAGTTCTACTAAGGGATCTGTGATCAGGGATATTTCTGTAAAGTCGGACGGCGAGAGAGGGACTTCTATAAGCACGTATAAGCATACTTTGAGGTGGATATTCTGAAGTTCTAGTGAGAAGCCGTGACATGTGATGTCAACCAGTTCGAAGGGAAGTGACTACCGACTGAAGATCTTGGCTCTGTATCTCGAATTGATGGAAGTAGGAAAGTGTGGACCACTGAACTCCGACCCCGTGGCTGAATGGTTAACGCGTTCGTCACGAGAAGAGAAGGTCATGAGTTGGATCCCTGCGGGATAGTGAGTGTGTACTGGTGGAGGAGGAATAAACAGTTGTTCAGTGTTCCAAAGAATTGAATGGTTGTCTGACTGATGTCAGTTAATTGTGAGTACTACCTTGAAAAAAAATTAAATGAGACTGGATGCAGTGGATATTTTTGGTTAACATCACTTGACGTACACAAGTTACTTGATACCTAGTCACGGACCATAACACATCTTCTGGTGTTGGGAAATGTAGCCTTGGACAGTGTGATGTATTTACCCAACAGCCTTTCATTGACACACTTTACTATGAGACCTGTCTGATGATGAAGTCAAATGTCGTATTTACTTCGAGAAGTGGAGCTAGTGTTGAGAGGAGGTGAACGTGGTTGTGTGTGTGTGTGAGAGAGAGAGAGAGAGAGAGTACCCGACAGAAGGTGAAGATGTGATCAACGCACTCACCAGCAGGTTCAAAATCGTCTTAGTTTTCTGGTGTTAGCTGTTCCCGAGTTTCACATAGGTTTCTAATGATGATAGGTACTACAATCTTTATACTTCATATTTGTTCAACTGTGGTTTTAATGGTAGGAGTTTTAGTTTTTTTGTAAAGACTAGGCCAATATGTGATGGAGACTTGTTTGAAGATGACATATTCCTGTTAAGTAGATTGTGATGAGATGTATTGTCTACTTGAAACAATGAGTATCAATTTGAGCATGTTTCGTATGCGTTTCTCACCACTCGAGTGGAGGTTGTTGCTCTAATACTGGTTATCGTCGCTGCCTTGGTTAGGAATCGGGGTGGGTGAGGAGTAAATCAGTTGAATGTCCTCACCACTTCATAATGATGGGAGGTGGTATCAACCATTGGAGATCAGTGTCCGAGTAGTTCTCTACAGGATTACACGAGCACCACTTGTCCTTCTCCGACCCACCGTATTTATGGGACATCCGTGACATGAGTTTGTCAATTGAGGGTGGAGATCGATGTTGTGTGAGGTTAGTATTGAGAGTAGATGACATATGAAGACTTAATGTGTTGGATGACGGTTGTTTTCGTATGATAGGCGAGATGCTTTTATGTCACTATATGAGTAACCCATAAGTTAGGTGTAGAGTGTTAAGGAGGTTATGAACTTCTATCGACTAAGTTGGCTGAGACATGTGTTATGCATGGATGGTCACCATCTTTCTTAGTGGACAGTGTTAAGTGAAGTAGGTTGAGGCTTGACAAAGGGTTATAGGTGGTCAGACTAAGACATGTTTGCTGTTTCATGGTAACGATGGATAGTGGCTAGTATTTGAATGCATTTCAGAAGTTGTTCTTGAAAAAAATTAGAGTGGTCTTAACAACAAAGGTTATATCTTGCTGCTTTGCAGGCATACACTCACACCTTTGACATGACTCAATACGATTGACTAAAAGATAGAAATCCTGGTACATTATTCATGGCTATAACAACATACATTAGCATGACGGAAACCTGTTTTGTGTTGGTTCAAGTCATCCGACAATTCTGCCTATTTATTCTTGTAGCATGCAAATATTATTGCGTAGGATGAGCATGCTTATTGTCCAGTGTTCTGTAAGCGTTCATATTTTATCGGGAGTGTTTCACTGACTACTTTATGTATGAAGTAAGTGGTAATGTGAGTCTCATTGCCTGTTGAAAAACCCAGTCAACATTTTTTGCAGGGAAACATAGGTGTATTTTCAGAACACTGCAAGTCGAAAACACGTGCGGCAAAATGTGGGGCCAAGAAAACTTGGGCCAGTGTTGCAAAACCTTGAGTTTTCAATATAATTTTTACCCATAGCCCCTATTTTAGTTCTGCGAAAACGTTGAGTGGGTAATATACCTCGAAGAAAGTCGATTACCATCACCGAATAATGCATGATACATCTTGGAAATACTGAAAACCACTTCATCAAGCTAGTCCTTAGGCATAGAACATTTTTAGTAAACAGTTTTCCTTTACACTTCAACATTTCTCATAATCGCTTTGATTTCGAATTTGATACTCAATACGACATAAACATGTATGATAAATAAGAAAAGTTATTTCAGTGGGTAACAATCTTGGTTCGACAAAAGGCGTTATCCAGATACCTCCAGTTCTAATCTTTGTGCAGCCCAAGTGTTCTCTCAATTTCAGACATTCTCAAAATTCGTTCAGTCTTGTTAGTTTTTACAAAACCTCAGAAAAGGATATTATATGATTGTCTAGGTAGATAGCATTACGTGGTTGGGAAATGTTCGAACGTGGGTGAGATGATGAATCGCTTGTGACTACAAGCCGACGTTGCATAACCATTAAATTTATTACTCATTGTCTAATTAGAAGTGGTCATAGAAGGATAGAATTCTACTCGACAAGATGTTTGCAACATTTTCACATAAATGAAGTATTTGAAGTGGAACAGTAATTAGAAGTTGAAAATAACACATTGCAGTAAACAGAATGGGACGGAAATTTATAGCATTTATGAAACATGTATTCGATGAAGGAAATGAAACTGTCAATGAAGAATTTTAAACAATAAAATAAGGGATTCGGTGTGCCTTTTTAGTACATATAGCTGAATGACTAGATAAACTGTCAAAGGTTCTGTCAAATACATGTACTGAGACTGCCTTCCCTCCAACCTAACTTTGCAGATAGTTATGAAGAACGCTTTTGGTAAAACACGTATCTTCAAAGCTGTTGATTAACTTCGAAAGCAATTGAAGCTATCCAGACTAACCTGAAGCTGGATTGCTCAGAGGAAATTAGAAGTAATCTACCTATATGGTTCATCATGATAGGTTTGGTTTGTGTATATTCTTCACACAGTATGTCACAACAAACAAAGTGACTGAATAAATGAATACTTTGTGTGACTTCTAAATGTTTCGATCACCAAGGTAAGATATATTTCTTGTATTTGTCTTTATATATTTCGCAGCGATCATGCGTGTAAAATTACACTCCAGCGAATGTGGTTGTTAGCAATACATAACTGTCACAAATTATTGAGATTTAAGTGTTCACTAGGTTACTGATTACGAACGAAATACCACTCATAGCTACTCTTCACTACCTGTCAGTATAATATTCCTTCATAAAAACGTTTTGTCGCAACCTCAACACCATACTAGTGTCGCAATTCAGTATCTCAACTTTTTATGTGGATCTGCGCAGTATCTAAGCAAGGTGCATGTGAACCTGAATAACGTGTATATGCATGCATAGTCATGTATCATATTCCTATCTCTCTTTGCTGTGTCCTTCTAATCCCCTAATGTGGTTAAGGGTGGAACGATCCAAGACATTCTCTAAAAATGCTTGCATATGGTGACGCATGCAAAGATTCTGCTAGGGAAGCCTTACTCACTACCTTTATATGGTAAGGGTTATTCCACAAAAGTGAGATGGTGAATGGGAATATCGGCCGCTATCGCTGGTTTGGTGGATATAGCACTTCACAATAGGGAGTTGGGGAACCTTGGTTCTGAACCAGTATTGCACACGAGTTCCACGATTCACCTGAAACTACCTTGGTCACCATCAACCTTGGGAATGTGAGACGTCACATTACTCCGCTGCTTTGCTGAACAGACTTCAAGTCACAGTCATTGGAAGTGGTCCATTGTTGGATCTAGGCATTTTGGCAGTATCATATCCCAAATACAAATTATGAATTAGCACTGATGAAGGGTCACACAAAGAGCTTACCAAATCTTCCAGTAACTGACTCCACGCTCGATGACTCAGTTTATTATTCTTTTGTAATCATTATCTTAACGTTTCAACTTTACTCCCATTTCGTTATCACTTTTAAATTTACCTTTATATCCCTCCTTGTTTTACTCAGCTACTCGTTACTGACTGTAGTTCTTGGCTGTCTGTACATCTTGAGTGACTAGACAGTTGCCCCTACAATGTTGTCCTTCAGTGCAATATTCTACTCAACTACGATGAAACCATATGGATAACGTCTAATCTGACTAACTTCAACTTTCAGAAATTGATACAGACTGGATAACAAATGAGGTTTGTCTGGGACTTCGAGAAGCTCTGCCACTCATGTATGCCGTTTCTATGAGTACTGCATATGTGATCCCAGTGTAGTGCTTCGAATAGCCTCCACATCTGTCATTTTGAAAAGTGTGTTGCTTTTGTGATCATTCAGAAACATTGTGGTATTAGTAGCCAGCTTTTCTGGTGTAGGTGTCTCATTAAATGGCAGAGTGGAACCTATGCCAGTTGCTGAGATCTGTGTTTTGATGTTATTGTGTTCTCCGAGTTGGATGGTTTAATCGTGAAGCTTTCATTGTCGTTCTAGACAACATCGCCACAAACTTTGTTTACTGTTGAGAATAGCTTGAATAACGCCACATCAGACTATGTCGCTTTCTATGTCGAACATTTATGGTAGCCAGAAACGATTGGTAGTTTGAGGTGAGTTGTAGCAGGTGATTGCCGTTCTCAGTTCGCCGAGTAGGGACTGTGAAAGTGCAACTTAAGTAGTTATGTCTTGATTAGCCTTCTCATTAATGCTTTGAAATCGTTCTCTATGACAACCATTCCTGGCCCTTTGGTTCTCAATGTGAGGCTGAATGATGCTTAATAAAACTTATGCGTCGCTTATTCTGATATGTGGTGATTGGGTATATGAGCAGAAATCAGAAGGAGGAAACGGAAAGTTTCACTTTTCTCTCTAGTTCCCACTTCATCACTAGGTAGGGCAGTTAAAAGCGGCTAGAAAAGTACGTCGGGTTTGGTTCCTGTGTATGCGTCACAAATACAGCACACGACCGTGACCTGAGATGCCGGAGCTTTTCCAAGCGAAACTTGTTGGCCGATTCGTCGGAGAGTGCGCACGTTGGAAACTCTTGTACGTAATTAGCAGGGTAGTTTCACTGAACCGTGTATGCTACTGTGTGGACTCAAATAGTTGTGATGGGCTGCGAAGCTGAGAGTGATCAAAGGTGTCACAAAGTTATAATGGATATATGAAGACAGATTGCAAGCCAACGATATTTGTGTTTGATGGTGATGTTGAGAGATTCGTTTTCTGATAGAAGTGCATTGGGCACGTGATCCCTTCCTGCTACTCAACTTCTGGCAGACAGCAAGTAGCGTAGGCCTCTTCACATGTATCAGAGACTTTATGTTTTGGTACCGCGTCTTGGTATGATCACTTTCAGCCTTTTTTCGACCATAATCCTCCTTCGAATGATATGGCATGGTAAGTCTCGAAAGCGCAAGATATAATCACGCGTCTCAGATCGGGCAAGCCCTACACTTTATGGCTTGACACCTACCGTGCCTAATACTGTTTACACAACTTTTAACGTTGTTAATTATAATCCCGTCACATTGCATTGCTATGGTGACGTGTGTAATCATAAAGTTGTACCCATCTTATAGTTTCCGCTTTCACTAACAGTGTCTCAGTTGTGCAGACTGTGGAATTTCGAAGTTGAACACCCATTCCTACGTGTTGCGATTTTTGTGTGAGTTGGTCTGTGAAATATCACTCTTTATTTGATTATCATGTTTGTTACGGCTGATTGTAAAAGGCACTTGATGCCTTACTCACCTTTTTGTGCCCTGCAGTCATTGCCTTACGTGTGTCCTTTTGTTGCTTTCATCACCTTATTTTCTGAATAACTGCTTTTTAGGTTGTTGATGTAATATCAGAAGCAATCGGAAATATGATGGAAGCTGAATTTCATGAATTGGTTATCAACCTTGTTAAAGATCACAGTGATTTTCAGTACAAAGTCGAAAAGGATTTTGATGGTGATTCGATTCAAATGTTGGACGGGACATATACGTCACCAGCAGATAAATGGCTCTCCTTTGTGCAGTTATCACGCGGCGCTCTTTTAGGTAGCTGTTGTGAGGCTGCTTTACTTCTCATCGAAAGACATATATCTAGTCTTTCTTCCACACCAAACAAAGTGAATCCAAGCTGGAGTGATATATCATCAGTAGTGAAATGTTTTGGATCAACATGGGCATGTTTGACACGATTAACTGAAGAAAGAGAGCATATTCAGCGTACATGGGTAAGCTTGGGCAGCTTTACAATAAACCTTATTATTACTGTGTGTTGAATAGCTATTTTAAGATTCGTGGGTCGTAGGTTAGATCTGTCAGCTGCGATCCTCAAATACACATGAGGAAAATACGTGAACATCCTGGTTCTTTAGCATAGTGTTTGCTAATGCTATGCTTCATAAACTATTCATTTTGTTGACCGTAACCATTATATACAGTCACTTACACCTTTGTATCGTATTAAAAATCCTGTTAAGTTTCAGGTTATGACATTCACTAACCTTGAAGGAAGAGTTTGTAGCACTATGCGCTGAAATTCACTCTTTGATCACACCTGATTGTTTCAAGACTTTTATAATTCATTGATCGAAGTCTACCACTTGTTCTTTGGTTCTTTATGTGGATTATAAGTTTTTGTACTTGCATTCTTTTGAATGAAGTGACATTTTCATGTGTTTTATGCATTAACGATGTACTACTAGTGAATGAGCATCAGTTCATCGAGGTTTGATCGAAAGGGAGTTGATGCGTAACATAACTGTTTCTGCACAAATCAGCCGTATACATGTAAATTAAAATCATTATATGCATATTTCGCAGTGTCTTCAAAAGTATATAAACGGTGTTATTAATTGTTTTCTACAATACGATACCACTGATTAGTCAGTACTAAGGCATAGAATCAGTTGTATAATCCACTCTTATATGAATGATTCTCAATATAAACAGGTCAACATCAACGCCGTTGACTGCTGCTATGGGTGAAGTTTTAAATACTTCGTGCCTGAAAGCCTCTTCATATTTATAGATAAATGTTAACTAGCCTGAAATGTGTAGATCTGCTGTCTTCAACTGACTACCAACACTTTACTTGCTCCGAAAATATTCCAAGGAAGTTTTTAAATGACATACATTTCTATTCCGATAGTGATCTTACGTGTTCTTTGCATTACCTGAGACTTACGCATAGTGAGTAGATGACACATCATATTGGGAAACCATTGGGTGTTGTAACCTTGGTGAGGTGTTTATTAGACGAGATGTCCTGAGAATGATAATTTATCTTTTATCCAAATATTAGTGAGAATATTGTTATTGTCGTGTACATCCTTTTACTTTGAATAGTTTTGAACCCAGGTGTCTACAGGATAAATAAATTTCTGTCTGATAAATGGAACTATGTACTTCTTGGTGTATATGAAAATAGGATGCGGAAAAATGTTCGGAATTTTGAAAACAATGAGGATCAAATCAGTCTGCACTATTATGATTTGTTTTTTTTTAACGATTTCACTAGAAGTCTGCAATCATTTATTTCTAGCATCTATTAGACCCTAACTACATAATTTACACGGTTTAAACCGATGACAGGAAGCTGTTTAGGCTGGTGTCATTTCTTGGTGTTTAAATAATGGATCTGAGACACTCACCAGTGAATCAAGTGATGTAAATAAGTAATTTAGACACAGAGGAGACACCATAGATCCAGAAGTATACCGTAAAGTTTATCAAGAAATACGAAGCGATACATAAGAAGTTTTATTCGTGTCATCATTAGTAGCTACCATACAAGTAAAAAGGAGTTCAAGGCTTCTTTAGTTTTGTCAGACGAGAAAAGAATGTTATATACTTTACGTAAGATTCTCAGTAAGGTTGAAACTATGGGTGGTACTCAAGCCTATAAACTCACTCAGAGGTATACTTTATTGTCTCAGTGGTTCTATTGACCCATATGGACAAAATAATTTCTCTGTGAGTTCAGATATATATGTCTCACTATCTGGTCAGGATCTTAGCTGTTGCAAGGGATGCACTGACAACCATACATTAGCGGGGGACAAGGCAAGTGTACTAAAGCTCAGCATAGTTAGGTGGTGAGATAGAATAATTACTGAATCTTTGTTCATCGAAGCATTACCCGACATGTGTAATGGGAATGGCGAAACACCTATACCGGAGACATGGAAAACTTTTACTGTTGCTAAAACAAGGAATAATAATGCATGATAGAATTATAAAAATCAGACGGAGAAAGTTGTGTGAACACTGATTTGATTATGAGCATAAATCGTTCTAGATACTTCAACGAGTAAATAATATTGCATAACTATGTGCTATATCTAGTTTGACGGTTTTAGTGTGGAATTACATTCCATTACTGTGCTTAAGTTCCACACTTGTGTCAAGTTTTGATACTTTACAGACACGTCAGTTCAGAATTACCTGTTCCGTTCACAATAAGGCTTATGGAACGCCGGTGTATACCATAAACGACTGTATCAAGTCTATAAGAGCATTATTGACTCCGGCGATATACGTATACTCCAATGATATACATGATTAGCAACAGATGCAACCAACGACGTCGGAGTAATCCAAGTGTCACTGTATATCACCACTGTTTCATTCAAGTAAGCTAGTTAAATTCATGTTTGTATGTTTGAATCGCTCAAATATGACCTGGAAAACCTACTTTCAGTGCAAATGTAAGGAGGTTGTATTACTTACATCATTCAATAAATTATTTCTTTTGTTCACTCTAATCGATTTGTGTTAGAGAAATTACTGTGAGAAGTTATAGTAGTTTTCGTTCGATACTGTATTGATAGCATCAACAGACATCCATATGCACTGTGCGACCTGGCTTGACTACGTATTATTTCTTTATCAAATTTAGTATTAGCATAAAAAACAGGATATCAACAGGGTAGAGAGATTAGTACGTAAAAATGATATAAGGAGACTTCAAATAAAGTCTTAAGACAATGTAAAAGATGATTTAAGAAATAACTAAAAAATTTTTGATAATTATTTTAGGATTTAAAGGAAAATAGAGTGTGAATACATCTTCAGTGTTGTGTTCGGTTCTGTGCCGTATTATCTGAGGTATCGAACCATCGACCTTCGTTGTCCCATGCACACCAAGCGAAAAGTCTACTTTGCTGCGCAAAACTCAGACCAGCAATCAAAGACTTCATGAATTATTCTTACCTGGTCTTTCTAAGTTGTTCAGTTTTCAGGTTCGTGGGGACCTATTTATTGATTTCAGGTTTGTACTTATCATGGACTAACATCAGTTGGAGAAACATTGAGAACCTGGGAGAACTGGGCATCTGTTTTGCCCTAGCACGGGACTCAGCAGGGCGCACCCACTACCCCGCCAGTGCTCGAACCTAGGGCCTTCAGGTTCTGCGACCATGACGTTATCATTAAGCCACTGTGTCGCATTCAATGGTCCCAGTGGTAACATCCTGGTCGCGAAAGCCGAAGGTCTTGGGTTCGATCCCTAGCGAGGTCATGTGTCCCTGAGAGGCTTATCAAGACTTTGAAAGCCCTATATAATAAAACCCCAGGCAGAGTGAGAGCATATAACCACCTGTTTCCATTGTTCCAAACCTGCAGTAATGTTAGGCAGGGTTTATCAATTTCCCCATTCCTCTTTAACTTTCACATCAACAGCATTCTTGAGACAGCTGTGAAGGAGGTGCGTGATGGTGGTGCAGATCTACTACTCGGAGAACAGCTATTTCACCTTGAATATACGGACGATATCGTCTTACTGTGTGATAAAACAAAGGCTACTCAAATCGCACTCAATTAGTTGGCGATTAATGTCCGTAAGAATGGTATGCGCTGTGCACCATCAAGTGCAAAGTCTTCTTTCAAGATTGGCAGGAGCGTGTGCCTGTGCTCACCAATGGTGGTGAGCCGTTGGAAGTAGTTGAAAAGTTCGTGTACCTGGGCAGTTGTGTGTGATAAATTTCCAACCGCATATCGAAAGTTAGAGTGGTATACGTCAATCTAGGCCACGTTTGGCGCCGTTTCGACGTTAGTCTGACCGTGGGAGATCGTGCTTACAACACGTCGGTGCTAGCAGTTCTGCTTTACATGTGTGAAACGTGGCCTCTCCGAGCTCAGGACATGGGACGACTCTGTATGTTCTATCATCGTTGTCTCCATAGGATTGCTTGTATCCGGTGGCAACACCATATGAGTAATTCTGAGGTATGATATGACAGTGTGTGTTTGGGCATGATGCAGATGATCATTCACGAAGTGAAATCATCTGGAAACATCGGCTTCGGTGGTTTGCACATGTGTTACACTTGTCATTCCAACAGCTTCCACATAGTTGATTGTTTGCTAACCCTGGGACTGGATGGAAGGAAGAAGCGGGGAGGTGATCAGTACATGATGTCGCGCCATGGGATGAAGGGTAGTTGTATCGGTTTAGTATGTGTTGGTGCATCATGACTCTCTAGGTGGGGTCCTAGAGATCACGCAACTCAGTGGCTTGAGACGTTATCAGAAATGGCTGAGAATCGAAACCAGTGGTAGTCATGCTGTAGATTCCTTTAATCCTCTACTGATGAGAAGTGATGTTTTGCTTTGAATGTATCTTATTGGACTTCCTTTGTAATCGTTCTATTCTTAGTGTTTTCCTTTTTTCTCTATCTACTCCCCATTTCTTTATGTCTTCATAATGTTGTTATGATATTTTGTGTGGTGCATTTCTTGGTCCCCTTACAGTGCCATGTTTGTGTTCTAATAGTAATAATCATAATGATAGTAATGGATCTTCTACTGCTGAAAAGTAACGAGTGTTTCTTGATTTTGGTGACTAGGAGAGGAGTTCAGGACGCCTCGTTCCGTCCTATTTGGGACTGGTCATTTGGATGTATCTGAACCCTAGTGAGTTGTCTTCCTACTGAGAATCGAACCCAGTACCCTTTACTTTAAACAGCACAGCGTTATCCACTAACAGAGGTTGAGCGATTTGGCTTCTCATAGGATCGGGAAACTTGTGAAAGATAGTGAAAGAAACCTAGTTACCAAGGAGGAGAAAGAAAATAAACGATGAGCTTACCACTTCAGAAAACTCTTGAATCGACTCCACCTGCAACTCGTCCAGAAATACCACCAGCAGCCTAGTCACAGAATTACCAGTGAACAAAAACCGAAGTCCTGAATGCCATGAAGTTGCTGAAATCCGGAAAAGCAGCACGACCAGATGCACTTCCGCCAGAAGCACTGAAAACAGACGCAGCGACAACAGCAGACATGCTCACACCACTACTGCAGAATGTTTGCAAGGAAGGGAAGATACCTGCCGATTGAGAGGAAGGATACCTTGTCAAAATTTCAAAGAAGTGAGACCTAAGTGTTTGCAGGAACAGACGCGGAATCATACTCCTGTCCACCCGAAGCAAAAATATTTAACTGCATCATCCTGGAGAGACTGAAAAATCTTCTGGATTCAAAATTGTAACCGGAACAGGCTGGCCGACTGGTTTCAGGAAAAACAAATCATGTGCGGACCAAATTGCAACGCTACGCTACGCATCATCATAGAACAGAGTATAGAATGGCATTCAACTCAACTCTGCCTCAACTTCATCGATTTTGAAAAGGCCTTCGACAGCGTCCACCGACAAGTAATTTGGCAGTTGCTTAAACACTACGGAGTGCCACAAACCTTTATCAACCTCATTCAACAGTTATATGACGACGCCACATACCAAGTAATGATTCACAATGGGAAGCTCAGTGATGCCTTTGAAGTGAAGACAGAAGTAAGACAAGGCTGCCGCCTACTATCACCGATCATCTTCCTGATTGTGGTGAGCTGAACTGGATCATGCAGCAAACCGTGAGGAGCGAGAAGATGGGCATGCACTGTTTGACAGATGAAAAGACCCTAGAAGATCGGGATTTCGCCGATAATGATTTATGTCTAATGTCTTGTCGCACAAACTCGAAGATGTGCAAGCAAAAACCAGCAAGTTGACAGAAGAGGCGGGGCAGCGAGAACAGGACTTCAAGTGAATGTAGAGAAGACAGAGATGATGAAGATACCCAACCAACAACAACAAGCATCAGTCACCATCAATGGGAGAAACCAAAAGGAAGTTGTTTCTTTCACCTACCTAGGCAAGGCAGCATCGTTTCAACTACAGGCGAAGGGACAGATGAGGATGTCAAAACCAGCCAGGATCGGAAAAGCAAGACAGGCCTTCATTAATCTGAAACCAGTGTGGAGATCTACTACACTGAAATGGACTAAGCATAAAGAACAAGATCCGGATTTTCAACATCAATGTCAAGTCAGTGCTTATATGTGATGGTCGAGAGACTTGGCGCGTTACGAAAAGCACTTCCAATAAACTACAGACATTCATCAACAGCTGCCGCCTACGCTCACTCGGTACTGAATATGGAGATCAGATGGCCAGAAAGAATAAGCACCGAGGAACTCTGGGAACGAACCAATCGAGAACCCATCGCCCAAAAAATATGCAGAAGAAAGTGGAGATGGATTGAGCGTACACTGAGAAGACGGACTGGGGACATCACGCACGAGACCGTCGAGTGGAAACCAAAGGGAAAACGACGAGTTGGGCATCCCAGCTGAGGGTGACATGGAGGAGACCATGTGAGGAAGAAATGAAAGCTTGTGGGCAGTCGTGACGACAAGTTCAAAAGACTTCAGAGAAGAGAGAGAAATGGAGGCGTGCTACTGAAGCCCTACGTTCCACTAGGAACCCAAGGGAAAAATAATCATAATAAAATTGGCATGATCATCACTGGTTTCGATCCTGAATGTTGTCTGTTATTGTCTCGAGTCACTGAATTGTATGATATATCGGACTACATCCAGTTATTCAAGAGGCACCTACAGATGCTAAGTCAACACAACGATCGCTCATCTTATAGCGCCACGTCGGGATGAACTACTAAGTACTGAGCTAAGAATCTCCTCAAGAATCTTTTAGCTCAAAGAAAACCAACAAAGCAACATCTCATGGCACTTGTTTCTTAATATCTATCAGGAAAATGCAAAAAATGAAATTGGTGTCGTTTACAAAAAAATTAATTTAACATACTTTAGCATGATGAAGTCTAGCCAAACTGGTAGAAACTGATGCAAGCAGCACGTCGCCCGATAAGGTAGCTAATTTATTAGCCACCTCCATATTTTTAAGCCATGTTTCATGATCATCAATGTTTCGATCCGAGTCGTCTAAATCGACCAGACTTCTAGAAAACAATTTCCAAAATAGACATTTAGATTACGTACTAGAAAGTTAAACGGAAAAAAAAATTAGCAGTACAAAATACTTATTCATTCCAAGTACTCGCTGTTGAAATATTACCGAACGCAGATACAGGCATGTGCGCAAAGCCACGAACCAGACGTAATGCACGAAGGCTTACATTACTACCCGGTAATTTGTTCAAGCTGATTACGTGAAATCTCTCATAATCAGTTGTCTTCATTCTTTTTCTCCAGATCCCACTGTAAATTAGTCGACTGCTATAGTAAATTTTATGAATGCAGTAGTATGATCACCAAGTAAAATATAAGGAAATATTTTCGTGATCTACGAATTCATTTAGTTTTTAACCATTATACAAGAAGTCTGTGCCCATCTAATCTTGTTCTGTCGAAATAATCAGATACTGTTGTAAACATAGGAGGAGCACTTGACCAGTTGCCTTTGTATTTGATATAGGGTCGTCTTAAACATTTTCCACAATTTTAAGTTAATGTAACAAACGTTGAACACATGCATTTACATTCAGTAATTTGGTACTGTTTATCTGCTCACCATAAATATCAATATTGTGCATACATGTGTGTTAGGTGTGATAATAAAACTCGGATTTCACATGCACTTTTTTATGCAGTAGATGAGTTTAACTACTGCTCTTTGCTAAATAATGTGGGACACAAAGTAGAGCTGGCTAGGATAACGTAAAATCCAGTGTTGAAGTAGGTTGGTTCAAGTCATCACGAATCTCAACAATCAATTGAAAGGCGATCATTACGAAAAATCGCAATAATGAAGAAAATAAAGAGATTACACCAATATAAGGATGGAAAGACAATAAGAAAATAATACGATAATTTATTTAGAGACCGTAAAAAATTCCTACAACTAAGATCCTAATGGAATTCTTGTCAAGCACCTGGCCACGCATTACTTTATGTCATTGTAGTATTGTTGTATTGTTTTGTGTTGTGTATTTCTTGGTGCTCTTACAGTGCCATGTTTGTTTTCACTTTATAATATTAATATGTGGCTGCGCATTGCTGAAGAGTCCCGTACTAGGAAGAAACAGCTGTCCATTACATCCAGGTTTTCAGTGTTTCTGCAGCTGATTTCAGTGCATGGTGAATACGAATCTGCATTCTAAGTTTTTTTCAAATTTTTCCCACCCTTAGCGTTTTGATGTTGGCGGTGGTGTGGAATACGCAGTACTGCGTGTACCAGCTATTCTTGCCAGTGACGATTCATCACTTCAGTAGTCTGCTATGTATTGATCCCAGCACCTGCAGACGATCTCGCTAAAACGATGGTGTGCATGTCTTTAGACTTCGTATGTTCTTTTCACCTAAAGAGCAAACGAGATATCCAGATACGTCGCCAGTGTCATAATTAGTTTAGTTAGGGAATGTTAGTAGAACCTTTTGTATGCTGGCTAAGATATGATCAGCCACCAACCCATTAAGTCTGGTGGCGTTTTTCTAAAGCAACACTGTAGTTGGTGTAAGGCATATCCTAAACACAGTCAAATTACTATCCAAATTGTTCGGAAGACTCTTATTATTGTCAGTACCCTCATCTGTTTGCGTACTTTCTCTTGACAAAAGAATGTGTAAGGAATGAATCAGTATCCAGAGTAATATACTTGTAATTTTCCGTTGTTTTATTGGCTCGAATTGTTCGACCTCTACTGGCATATGGGCTCCTATATGGGTGCCTCGATGTTGCCTGAGTGTCAGTTATGGTACTTTGGTTGGTTGTGGCTAGCAGAGAAATCCAGGTCGAACAATTTGATCCAATAAAACAACGGAGAATTACAGTATATCAATAAATAGTAATAAATAATACCCGTTGTACAAGGAACGTCTATCTCTCCTCCGTGGCATAGTGGATAACGCCTTGGTGTTTGAAGCGATGCGTAGGGGGTTCGAGTCTCACTGGGAACAACACTCACTGGAGTGTAGGTACGTCCAGCCGACGAGTCCTAAGTAGGACAAAACGCTGATCTTGGATTCCTCTGCTAGCCACAACCAACCAAATTACCATAACCCATAGTTATTTCTTAGGTTGGTGAAAATATCATTTTGGGCGTAATCTTTGAATAACTTGTAATATGTTCACATGAAATTCTCTAGTTTCTCTCATTGCCTATGTTACTGTTGTTGTTATTTTGTTCTCTATAAAGTTAAGCAATCAAACTGCTAATACTTACTGGTCAGCGAAAGGAGTACAATTTATGAAAAGAAACACATCCACAATTCCGTCAATTATTCCGCAGTATTCCGAATTCGGTTTAAGTGAACCAACGTTTGCAGATGCAATACTCTCGTGTTCTACATCGAGAACTCATCATAAACTGCGAGATATCATTGATGAAGTGTTGTTAGAATATAATCATTTTGGGCGTGAACTAGCTGAGAAATTACGTGAATATTTTGCTCAAATTGTTTCTAAGGCTGAACAGCTGAATGGTAATCATGATGGTAATAATAACAGCAATGATAATAATCATTTACTAGAAGTTGAAAATTCATCCGGTCTACGGTTACTGGGCAACATGGTAGATAAACTTATTAGTGACTCTAATTGTTGTTAATGAAAGATTATTAGTGTATTCTATTCTCCCACTCCTACCCCCGTCCTTATTCCTTGTTCCACTACTGAAATATAATAATCTTGCGAATCTTTATGTTTTGCACGATTTTGCAAATCAAAACTTCATGGGTACTGTTTAGTTTGAGTTTAATGTGAGTTACGCTTGTGAAGGAATAGATCATCAGCATTTCTTGTTGTATTAAGTTAAGACACCATCATTCTCCGACATACACTTAATTGTAAAACTTCTTGACGCTCTAAGAGTAACATATCAATTAGTGGGAATGAATAAAACTGTGGTGAAAGAATAGTTAAATCCTCAATTAGATGAAATGGTGAATGCATCTATGCTGCTCATATTGACTTCTTGGCATTGCATTGGCTTTCGTTCCCACAACAATAGTGGCAGCAGATCTACATTTATTCTTTCAATACAGGTCAGCAGGCAACGGTATCGCTATTTGTTGTTAATTTCCTTTTTTTGGATCTTATGAATAGCGGATGTGATGCCTTTGTCAAGCAGGACCTCTTTTCGGCCACAATCAAGCATCTAATAGCTATGAATTTCCAGAAAGCATACCGAAATGAATAATTTTTAACCATCAAAATAAATCAGCAGCCCTTCTGAGGGATTCGTATGTAAAACTTGGGCAGTTTATGAGTCTTATCGTTGGAAGTATCGAAGTGTGAACGTGAGATAGCAAAACTAGAGTAGGTTAGTTAGGCTTAAGAAATAAAAAAACCTGAAAAACTAAATTGGTTAATAAGAACAGGGAATGACAAAGTTGCTATTTGATTGGTGGAGCTTCCACAACGTAAAGTAAACACATCCTTTAACCTTTTGGTAGATTTGTTTTTGACGGTGTTGTGTTCTCTGAGCTGGATGGTTTAGTCGTCGTCATTTTAGACAACTTCAACCTAAACTTCAGAAAGAAGCACTTTGTATTTCGTAGACCACTGGAAATAAATCTTCTGAAGAGTGTCAGGAAGCGGTTTTACTTTGCATTTCTGAAGCTCTGGTATTGCAAAGTTGATGCCATAATTATGTAACTAGAAGCAACGTTGCTAATCACTGTCCTCATTGACCAGTTAATATGTGAACCTTTCCAATTCTTAAGCATAACTAAACTGTTTCAATTTTCATGATATTAGGCAAATGTTTTTTAAGGGAAGTCACTGATTTCTTATTCTCTTCCACACTGACAATTGCGTACTCATTTGGTTATTAAGTATGGAAAATATGTGAACATATTTCTTTCTTGTGGCCGGATGGAGAAGCTGACAAGCCGAGTAAATTCAGCAGGGATAATTCTTTTTGTGTCACATTCAGATTTGTTGTTTGAGGATAGGAGGCTGTGAGCCTATGTTAATCCTATTCCAGTAGATCTCAGTGCTTTCCCGGTCTTCTTTTAAACGAGTCATTCGATGACGCAGACGCCAGTCCTTCTGGAAGCCGGTTCCAGGAGTTGGTGCGAGAAACCAGTACTTTATGCAGACTACGTTTGTCCTTTGCTTTTGTATTCTCCTGCTGTTTCCTCTCAAGTATTGGGACCTAATGATGAGGAAAAAAGACAGGTCAGGTCCAAAGTCATTTCTTAGAATCCTGCACAGTATGATTAGATCTCCCAAGTATCTGCGATAGGATAAAGGGAAGAGGTTCAGCTCCGTAAGTTGATCTTCGTAGGTCAGGCCAGCCTTCACAGGGATCATACTAGTGACTGGCCCCAGAACTCTTTTCAAAAGGTCTGAGTCACCTTTCAGACAAGGATTTGCCTCTTGTGTAAGGTTTCTGGTTTAGACCTAACTAAGAATGTTTATAAACTGGTGAGGATACCACTACTCCCTTTTGTAAACTTTCTGCGTAATGCTCAAAGTGTCCTGAGACTCCGAACTGCGACCAATCGATAGTGAGTCGTGGCCTTCATGTCATAACTTACTATGACTCCTAGGTCATTGTGGGTCAGTACAGAGGGTTGAGGAGTCCCACTAATATTGTAGGTGCTGCCATCTGTGTGCCTTTCATGCATTTTCACACACATGCATTGATAAGCATCAGTCGTTTCTCTGACCAGGTTAACGAGTTGTTTATGTCCGTGTAAAGTGCACGTCCATCATCGTCATCCCTAATTTCTCACCAGCGTAGAGAACCTTCGGGAACTTCGTGATATTCAGTAGCTAATTTATATAACAGGGAAAATACCAAGGGACTTAGGACTGCTTTTCTGGACTCCACTCTCTACTGACTTTCAGGCTGAGAGTTTTGAATTGATCTTTAATATTTATCTCTTACTAACAAAGAACTCTCTGACCTATGCAACTAGATTACCAGTGGTTCCAAAACTTTCCAGTTTACCGAGCAACTTGGAATGAGGCACCTTATCAAATGCCTTACGAAAGTATGAATATGACATCTACAGGCATGCTATCATCCTTGATTTACCCCATAAATTTATCTTGAACAGTACAATCCTAATTATGACATCAGGAATAAACGTGATTAGGATGTACCGGATTCATGAGTCAATTAATAAGAACATGGTGTTGGATTTCACTGCCTAGCAGCTCAGATGTAGGGCGATGAGATGAAAGAAATCGAAATGCACTCAACGACCATGTCCACACCTGTCCAGTAGGTAATGGACCACCGCTATTGTGTGAGAGTCAAGCATACTACCTGGCTCCTCAGATCTCCGTAGGTGAGGCGAATTCGAGTACCTAGAGCAGTGAGTCACAGATCCCAAAGATAGGAATAGAAAGAGATATCGTCAAAATAGGAGTAAGGAAATTACGAACTGTGATATAACAGTTAGCATGTCGATAATGTACAGATGTATCTGCGCCACTGCTATATCATTTCTGAGTCACATAAGGATAATTATAATACACACCGCTCAGGATTTTCCACCATCGATTCGGGTTTGTGCGTGGACCCTACCTAGAAAGTGCAGATTTTCATACATGACTCACTAGCAGTTAGCGACTGATGCCATGTTTTAGTCTGAACAGATTTAATATACTTCGGCTAACATGGCGTGTTGGAGTAGACAGTAACTAGGCCTGTTTCACACATATCCTAGGGACTTGTGTTGATGATGGTTCACAACCTCTACTGATAACTTCCTTCTTTCACTTAAGATGAAACTGTAGGCTTGACGTCTATTTTCGTAATGTGGGGATTGAAAAGCATTCGAAGAGTGGTAGAAAGTCAACGGTGGTTGAAGACTTGTAGTCTTGTTTAACCTTCGTTTTAATTGAAATATTTCACAGTCGTATGGTATATGAGGAGGATGGTACTGTGCATTAGGCTCAATCATGAATTAGCAGTAGGATAAATCGTTGTTGCACTAGATGGCAAAGATTGAGCAAACCCTTTTTATCCGTTCGGATATTTCGTTGGTCACTGGGGTGTCTGATGTGACCTGATTTTTCAGATGAGTGAAGTTATGAAGTTGCTCAACCACTTGGTTTCCCATTGTTAGAAAAGGTACCAGCAAAGGCCAGACTTGTAGTGGTGGTTTGCATTCAGGTGGTGAGAAATGCACTGCAAACATTCTGAAATTTGCACTGAAGGTGTCCAGAAGACTGCATCTTGTCAGCGTCTACACCTAACAGAACTGTGTCGCCTATGTACTCTAGTTCTACTAAGGGATCTGTGATCAGGGATATTTCTGTAAAGTCGGACGGCGAGAGAGGGACTTCTATAAGCACGTATAAGCATACTTTGAGGTGGATATTCTGAAGTTCTAGTGAGAAGCCGTGACATGTGATGTCAACCAGTTCGAGGGAAGTGACTACCGACTGAAGATCTTGGCTCTGTATCTCGAATTGATGGAAGTAGGAAAGTGTGGACCACTGAACTCCGACCCCGTGGCTGAATGGTTAACGCGTTCGTCACGAGAAGAGAAGGTCATGAGTTGGATCCCTGCGGGATAGTGAGTGTGTACTGGTGGAGGAGGAATAAACAGTTGTTCAGTGTTCCAAAGAATTGAATGGTTGTCTGACTGATGTCAGTTAATTGTGAGTACTACCTTGAAAAAAAATTAAATGAGACTGGATGCAGTGGATATTTTTGGTTAACATCACTTGACGTACACAAGTTACTTGATACCTAGTCACGGACCATAACACATCTTCTGGTGTTGGGAAATGTAGCCTTGGACAGTGTGATGTATTTACCCAACAGCCTTTCATTGACACACTTTACTATGAGACCTGTCTGATGATGAAGTCAAATGTCGTATTTACTTCGAGAAGTGGAGCTAGTGTTGAGAGGAGGTGAACGTGGTTGTGTGTGTGTGTGTGAGAGAGAGAGAGAGAGAGAGAGAGAGAGTACCCGACAGAAGGTGAAGATGTGATCAACGCACTCACCAGCAGGTTCAAAATCGTCTTAGTTTTCTGGTGTTAGCTGTTCCCGAGTTTCACATAGGTTTCTAATGATGATAGGTACTACAATCTTTATACTTCATATTTGTTCAACTGATTCGTCTGTGGTTTTAATGGTAGGAGTTTTAGTTTTTTTGTAAAGACTAGGCCAATATGTGATGGAGACTTGTTTGAAGATGACATATTCCTGTTAAGTAGATTGTGATGAGATGTATTGTCTACTTGAAACAATGAGTATCAATTTGAGCATGTTTCGTATGCGTTTCTCACCACTCGAGTGGAGGTTGTTGCTCTAATACTGGTTATCGTCGCTGCCTTGGTTAGGAATCGGGGGTGGGTGAGGAGTAAATCAGTTGAATGTCCTCACCACTTCATAATGATGGGAGGTGGTATCAACCATTGGAGATCAGTGTCCGAGTAGTTCTCTACAGGATTACACGAGCACCACTTGTCCTTCTCCGACCCACCGTATTTATGGGACATCCGTGACATGAGTTTGTCAATTGAGGGTGGAGATCGATGTTGTGTGAGATTAGTATTGAGAGTAGATGACATATGAAGACTTAATGTGTTGGATGACGGTTGTTTTCGTATGATAGGCGAGATGCTTTTATGTCACTATATGAGTAACCCATAAGTTAGGTGTAGAGTGTTAAGGAGGTTATGAACTTCTATCGACTAAGTTGGCTGAGACATGTGTTACGCATGGAT